CACTGTTGGAAATGTTTGGTTCTAATCTCACCCAATGAACCTCTAGAATTCTTCAATCGTCATTCCTTAATTCATATCAACTTTTGTGTATTTGTAATTTAGTCCCCAAACTTTAAAAATCTTCATTTTTCGTCATTTTTCATCCATTTATTCAAATTTCACTCCTAAACATTGAGTTTTACTTAACAAACAATAAATACATGAGATTAAGTTATAATTAATCGAAAGTAACTCCCAATATCTATATTTAAAGGTCTAAATAAGTGTGTAAAACATATTTATCATGTACTATCAACATTAAGGTACCACTCCAATAACTCAAACAAATCTTAGCCAAATAATTAGGGATGCGATCCTCTTTGTAAAATATATGGCTACCTAGTTGGTGCTACTCCTTTTACACATTGATCAAGTACATTGTTGTAACGGACATGTACAGGGATTTTAAATGAGGAGAACTGCTCGTCGAAAAGCAACGACTTGCACAAATTAGCTCGCGAGCCGACTCGCCATAATTGAGTGAAAAAACAAATTCAGTAAAATTGAAAAGCCGCAAGTGACTCACTAGCCGGATTGACGTGGAGCGAGTTTGTGAATCGAGACGAGTCGAGGCACTTGGTTGGATCTATTAAACGTCCCTCCATGGGCTCCATCTCTGTTAGTACTGCTACACCTCTACCGACATATATGTTTTTAGTTCTAACTTCTACCACTCAATTTTTAGTATTATCTACATTGTTTCATCCATTTTACGGCTCTATTGATCTAGACTGTTATAACTCAGATATCATATCCATTTATCACAATCTATTTTACCCAAAGATGCTAATTGTTTCATCCCTAGCGAGCGACGTCGATAAAATTACTGCACCTCAAGGCCGCCTCTGATGGCGATGGCTTTGCAGTTTGACCTGAAGACACTAGGCGATTTCTCCTTTTTCTATTCATGTTTGACTGCAAAAGCCATGCATTTTTTTATGTATTTTCTACCACATGTATCGCGGATTTTCCATACTCTCGTACACCAACTGTATTCCTCACCTTTAATGCTTTACTTTCACACAATTATTCGCTCAAAAACCCTCTATTTTTCCGTGATCCAATACATATTAAAAAAAAAAAAACCATTTTCTATTTATTCTTGTTTAATCAATTACGAGGTGAAAAATGTTTTCTTCTCGATTCCCCTTTTATTGTTTATGTCAATTTCGTATTTGGGTTTCAGAATCTTGATTTGGGCTTTCTTTTTGATTCATTTCTCAATTGCAGGATATTTTTATTTCTGGGATTTGTTTGTGCTTCTGGGTTATACTGATATTGGATCCAATTAGTAATTGAACTCCAATTTCTTGTTATTGTCCAAATGTTAAATTGTTAGACCGGGGGTTTAATGATGGACTATTATACAGACACAAGTTCATACTTGAGGTTAGTTTCTTGAGGTTTTTCAGATATTCTGCTTTATGCTTAATTCTACTATTCCTTTTTCAAGATATATTTCCTGTCAATGTATTTTTTCTAATAATGGATCTAAACATGTGTTTCTCTTGTTCATCGAATTGATTCTATGAGAATTACTGTACCGCCACTTTTCAGCGCTTGTGCGTGTGCTGATTTCTTGTAATAAGAAGATACATTGAATGTTATACTTAAGATTCCGCACGCCTCATTGGCCACTTAGAATTAAGTGCCCTTTGAATCGGAGTTTGTGAAAGAGAAATTAAGATTGAACAGAATCATTTCTAATTCCATTCCTGGGCTCCTGTTTGATACTACCAAATGCAGTTTTAGTTCAGTAGAAGCATTTCGGAGGATTATTTCATTCTTTGGTTAACTTAATTTAAGCTTGGAATGCAGTTTATTCGCGGCCTTTTCATATGGAATTGCCTCTATGGCTATGGTTTTTATCAATAAGGCAGTGCTTATGCAGTATGCCCAGTCAATGACTCTGCTTACTCTTCAGGTATTCATAAACAAGCATTTGCATGCCTCGCAAGTACTGTGTTTTTATCACTTACTAGGCTTTTGTTTCTATTTTTGAGCTGTTATCAGCAAATGGCGACAACTTTGCTTATACACTTTGCTAGAGTAATGGGATACACAAAAGCCAGAGGATTTAATGTAGAGACGGCAAAAAGACTTATACTAGTTTCGTTATTTTACAATGCAAATGTTGCATTTGCTTTAGCAAGCTTGAAAGGAGTAAATATCCCAATGTACATTGCCATCAAAAGGCTTACACCGCTTGCTGTACTAATAGCAGGATACTTTTCAGGGAAAGGGATTCCTACAATTCAGGTATATAGCTTTTTTTAACTTTTTTGTTTATATCAAAATTATTCTTTGCTTAGAAGATTCATTTACTTATTTTGCAATAAGCTTTCTTTACATGCCTTACATACCTATCTTATTTTCAGGTGACTCTTTCAGTGATCCTAACTGCTGCAGGAGTTATTATAGCCGCGCTTGGAGATTTTTCCTTTGATCTTTTCGGATATGGCATGGCCTTTACTTCTGTTTTTTTCCAGGTAGCGTTTTGGTCTTTCATTCATCAAGATACGCAGAACACGTAGATTTTGTTATTTTAGATTTTTCGTACTGATCGTAATATATTTATTGCCTTTTGCATTAGATAGATATTTGCTTGCTTAACGGCTAAATTTCCATTTGCAGACTATGTACCTCGTCTTAGTGGAGAGGTCAGGTGCAGAGGATGGGCTTTCATCAGTTGAAATCATGTTATATAACAGCGTTTTGTCTGTACCGTTTCTTCTATTCCTCATCATAGCAACAGGAGAGTTTCCGGATTCTCTGTCAATACTGTTTGCAAAGGTTAGGATCTTTATCCATATTTTAGTGCATTATCATTCACAGTTATTGGGAAGAAGATAAACATTGAAAGAACGGTATCATTCTTGATAGGTGACCTGATGTTCAATTCTTGAGCTTTAGGTGGTAGAGCAGTATTGATAATGATCGAGAATGGCAGAGAGCACAACTTCAGTAATTAATTCTCTTCGAAAAGAATCTGAAATTGCAGCCACGTGTGGAAGTAGGATTACTAATGGTGATGGATGAAAATGATTCGGAAAATAAATAAATTTAACCACATTGAACAACAATTTCAACTTTTGATGTAAACAAGTCCATAAACTGTAACTAGGTTTCCTAAAATTTTAGACAGAAAACTATCTGAAGCAGAAAAGAATGGTTAGGTATTATGAGGATCATATTAGTATGGCCGTGATCATGGAAACTGGAGCAGATGTGTAGTAATATTGATTGAAATTTAGAAGTTAACAGAGGGGTTTCTTAATGTTGACGAGCTGCTTCACTGCTGTGAACAATTATCCATGAACTGTAACTAGGTTACCTAAGACTGTTTAGGAGATAAAGGTTGTTACTTGTTGATGTTGTTGGAGATTGTTGGACTAAATAAGTTTAACTTAACAATATTAAGAAAAGAGAAAAATTGATCCATTGTGTTGGTCTATCCTTATCAATGGTTGAAAAATTACAATTAAATAGCAAAATCAAAAAGTAAAGTTGGGAAGCAAATGCATAAACAATTAAACTAATGGGCAGGTATGTGATAGAACCAATTTAGATAGTGAGAAATCGAAAGGAAAATCAGTACTGAATTGTATTAATTGAATGGATTACAACTGAAAATAGAAATCATAAGAGGCCATTCGAGAGGGCCATACTCTCCTACAGCTATTCAGCTCTCAGTAATTTCTTGATGCCAGACTATTTGCTATTATTCTATTTATAACCCCTTTCTCGTAACTAACTCCCCCCCCTGCTTAACAGAATTTGTTACCCTCCTCTGCCCTTTGGATCCTTATAGAATAGGTGTATTTGATTGGGGGCCTATCAGTATGTCTCTTGTTTTAATAAGATTTGTGCCTTCAGGAAATGAGCAGGTCGCTTCCAGAATGCAAAACAAATTGACTGTTGTGTAACTCAGTTGAGCTCAAAACTCCACCATATGAACACCTGTATTTGACTTATATCTGTGTATACTAGACATGTTGTAGAAAACATGATGTATGTAGTGTATATAGAGATGATCTCCGTAACAATTCCCCATAATTTTCTCTATTATTCACAATAATATTTAAAGGACTCCATCATCTCCACTAACATCTACAATAATAACCATGCGTTCTCCAATAATTAGTAATGAAACATTAGGACCAACCAACGTCAGAACGTGTGAATTATTAAGGCTAATGTTAACTCTTGAATTCTTTTGTATGAACAATAGTTCTTAAAATTTCTTAACCAGTTATAGTACAGGTTGGAGACCAATTGTAACGGCCATGTAGAGATTGTTGCACTAGCAGAGGATCAGTGTGGAACGTTCATGATGCTCAATGATCCCTCCATTATGGATTAATTTTCTCTTTTTTATTTTAATATTAAAATGAATGGGGAATTTTGTTACATTTCGATATTGAAATCATATAAAATTTCGGGATGAATATTTTACACCATATTATTTATTGAGATCATTACTATAGATATTAATGGAGATCATGGACAATTGTTGTGAAGATATTGGGGTAGTGAATGTGCTAATTTTGTATACATTACAAGGGGTTGTAAAATACTAATGTCTACTTCCTGCTTCTGCAGCATTTTACACACACTACATTCTACATGTAGTACACTACATGTTCTTACTCTATCTTCCATATATTTAGATATGCACGTAAAATTACTTCTTTTTCATATGAAAATACGATGGATCAGACAAGGTGTTTATGGTGGAGCTTGAGCACAATATTTAGCCCCTATTTGGGCTCCATTTTTCCAAAACTCATTTTCAACTACACATTCTTCCATAAAATAATATTACATGTAAGCCCAAAATTTTTTCTTATTTTTTAACCATTGTCCAAAAAATCACTATTTCAAAACACATTTCCCCCCAAAACTCATTTTAATGGAGCCCAAACAGGGGTTTAGTGCAGAATGGTTTCAGCTCTAATTGGATTCTTGTACCTTGTATGGGACAAGTTACAAGATTTCTGACACCTGGGTCCCTTGAAATTTGAAATATAACATTGCAGAGGTTTGATATTTGCTCCCCATCCTCATTGGTTCCATATCGTAAACGTTTTTCTCATAACTTATTACATTTTATTTGGATTGTTGATTCTTCAAGAGTTATATAACCCTCCAGTAATTTTCATTTATTTCCAATTTTGAGGTTCCAACTTTATTATATATTTATTTAATTGCTGAAATGGAATTTTGCTGTTTTTATATAACTAGTTAATTTTAGCGTTTCTAATGGGGAGATAATGATCTGTTTTTGATGGACAGAGTACTTCACTATCATTTTTGGTTATTCTTATTCTTTCACTCGTGATGGGTATAGTTCTGAACTATACCATGTTTTTGTGTACCATTGTCAACTCTGCTTTAACAACTACCATTGTTGGCGTCCTCAAGGGAGTCGGTTCCACAGTACGTATCAAGCACTGTTTCTTAATGATATTTTCTTATGTCAATTGTCGATAATTCATTTAACTGCTAATTGTTCGGTTCTGGTCAGACCCTCGGCTTTGTGTTACTGGGAGGAGTGCAAGTACACGCTTTGAATGTTACTGGACTGGTAATCAACACTGCCGGTGGCATCTGGTATTCATTCGCAAAATATCAGCAGAAGATGAAAAACAAGTTGCCGAGGGTGATATCTGATGCTGAAGCTCATCGTAAATGAAACCGATATTCACCAAGTTCTGAAAAGGTGGCTTTCTTACTATATGTTGTTGATGCAATTTGTTTTTCACATGTTACATAGTTCATTCACTTCAGTAAAATGTACTTTGTAACAATTTGTCAATTATAGTTCATACTTCTGTTACCATGACTTAATATTTTGCCCTCTACAAGATTTGCACCCCTGTTCACTAAGCAATGGAGAAAAGGGTAATTTTATAATTGTCTCATTTATAATTTTTTAAAAAATATTAATTAAATTATTAGTTTTTATATAAACTAAATGAATCTAAATTATAATTATAAATTATTAAAAAATCTTGGAAAGAATAATACAAAACTACATTAATTATTTATAGACATTCATTTCTAATGAGAATGATAGATTTTCAATGTGGGACAAAGTGAAACCCTTAATAAAGTCCCATAAGACCTTACATCGAAATCTTTTAATGTTTTAGCTCGTTAGGATATTTTTATTTTTTATGATAATCATATTTGCACTTCTGCCTTGGATTCTAGTTGGACAGACTGTATTCACGTCTAATCGTGGAATTCCTGCCCCATTGGCATCCTATTTGGACCTTTGCCTTCGACTTTAATTGGGTAGGTTGTCTCCCTGTCTAATTGGGGAATCCTTGCCTCGTCTGGGAGGAGTGCCCACGAAGATCGGTTAGTCCTTACCCAGTTGGCATCCCTATTTGTTCCCCTGCCTTCGACTCTAATAGGGCAGGTTGTTTCCCCGTTGGGATGGGTACCCATGGAGATCGGGGAATCCTTGCCCTGTTGCCATCCTTATTTGCACCTCTTACTTTTACTCTAATCGGGCCATGACTTCCGTCTTTTTCTATGAGCATCGAAGAGTAGATAGCTTTTTCTACAAGTGCTCCTTTTTCTTTCAAGCTTTCCGATTTCCTCTAAGCCATGATAAAGGTGGTTGGTTTGCTTGCGGTGAGCGGTCACTCTCCAGTTTGCATGGACTACCATCCATCAAAAAAGGCATATGCGATGAACGCAACAATGACAAATGAAAGAAAAGAATGAGGAAGAAAGAGGGCATAGAGCTTACCTTGCCCATATCATAAGAACAGTGAATGCAGTAATTTCTCCAATTCATCCTGAGAAGTTGGGCTCCCCGTATAGAGAGTCATCAACCTTCACAGGTTAATTTGGATATATATTTTACAGTGAAAAATTTCATCCCTACCGGAAGAGAGACTTGAAAATTTAGAGCCGATGGATCACCCCCTTCGAGTCCCTCCAATAGCTATGTCAACGAGCCAAGCCAAGAAAATTTTTGGGCCGAGCTTTTTTCAACCCGAGCCGAGCTGAGCCGAGACGAGACGAGACGAGTCGAGTCGAGCCGGGTCCGGACAAAAAATATGAGGCTCGGCCCGAGCTTT